CCTTTTCAACATCGTGTAACTGCACAGTGACGTAGGAGCCTATTAAATGCTTCTTCTGCAGCCATCCTGGTGGAAACCAGCATAATATTTCAAGACAAATTAATCTGAGCCAAATAAAGGATGGAAAGGTCTTGTTTTGTTTTGCCTTTAGGAGTGAACTCGTCAGAACTACCTTCCATCCCTGTTTACAGTGAACCTTCAGCATGAGTTCTGAGGGTGTCGCCCATCCTCATTTAGAGCGTGTTAACTTGCCTTTTCTCCACTGCGCAGCCCCACCTGCACAAGATCGTGAACAGCTCAATGGAACTTGCACAGACTGCCAAAGAGCCCTATAACTACTTCCTGCTGCTCCGGGCCCTGTTCCGCTCCATTGGGGGAGGTAGCCATGACCTCCTGTATCAGGAATTTTTGCCTCTCCTACCAAACCTCCTGCAAGGTCAGAGCAGTGATTTTGGTTGCCTTTTAGTCTTGTGTGCATGTATGGGTTTGGCTGACTGTGGTTGTGGGGTTCATTCATCCTCTGCATCCAGTGAAGGTCTTGGTGAGGGGATATATGTACGTATCCCGTGCCAGAGGTGTGTGTGTGTCCATGTGTTCATGTTCCCGTGTCCCACTCTCTTTAAAGGCAGTAGGACTTTGAAGGGAGCCCCCTTGTTCAGGGAGGGACCTTCCCCTCCCTACTCAAGAGTTGAACAGGAGTTGGAAGGTTTCCATCACCCTGGTTAGGACTTGGTTGTATTTTTGTAGCATTTGGTAAGCAAGTCTACAAAGTGGTTTCTAGTGGCTTAGTAGTAATGTCAGGGATCCCTAGTTGGAGAGAGAGTCAGAATAAGAAGAGAAAAAGCAATTATAAAGCTGATTTATAAGTGTGTATTTTTACTTTGAGGTAAACTTACGTAACCAGAATCCTGCAATTCTGGTGTGACCAGGAATGCTTTCAAGATATAGAGCTAAAGGGGATCCTTAAAGAAAAGCCATTTACAACGTATAGTACCCAGGAGGCATTGGGAAAAAGTCGGCCATGTTGCCTGTAACATGGCCATGAGTCCACCCTGCAAGGTGGCCCATCTCCAGTCATTCCCCAGCCTGAGTCCTCTGTTCTGTGGAGTCTCATTTCCTCCTCCCCAGGCTCATTTCTCCCTATCTACTTTTGTTCGAGTGGATCCCCTTCTGGGAACTTAACCTTTCTCCTTCTCCTCCTTTGGACCCTGAATCCAGTGCTATTACTTTGTGATGCCTTCCCTGATCGATCTTTTCTCTGCGCTCTCTCCATCTTGCACTGCCTGGGATGCATCCACTGTTCTAGGCCTTTCTCTTTCTAGCTGGTCTCTGAGCACTCAGGGCAGGTCCTGATCTGACATGTTTCAGTTAGGAAGGAGCTCAGCTTACCCTCACAAAAAGCAGGGATGTTGTCTTTGTGAGAAGGAAGATCTTCTCCATTTGCAGGAAATGAAAGTGGATTTTAAAAAAAAAACGTTTATTTTACAGCAGAGACCTCAACTGTGGTCTCTTGGAAACCTGAAAAAACATGTGAGGTTGTAAACCTCAAGCTTGAGGTGAAGGTATCTTATTGGAGTCTTGTGTCTCTGGATCAGGCTTGTTAAAAACAACAACGTGATTCTTAAAAGATCCATGTGTGATATTAGCTATCTCATTAGGATTAATTAACATTAAATAATTGTATCATAGCTTACGTTATAGTTGTATGCAGCCTGCTGTTGTCACCATGAACATGACGGACTGAAGGGTCATGGTTCTAGAATAGGTTTAGCTGATGTAGTAGATGAGACGTAAAACGTCTTCCTGTCATTGCGCTGATGTTGATAGTAGAAGGTGGAACAGTTATTCTGTACGATTAACTCTGGCCCGTCTGGGGGTGATGTTCTTCTCTGATGCCCGCAAACCCTGCTTCTAGGCCTGAACATGCTGCAGAGCGGCCTGCACAAGCAGCACATGAAGGACCTGTTCGTGGAGCTGTGTCTCACGGTGCCCGTGCGGCTGAGCTCCCTCCTGCCCTACCTGCCCATGTTAATGGATCCCTTGGTGTCTGCTCTCAACGGCTCGCAGACGCTGGTCAGCCAAGGCCTGAGGACCCTGGAGCTGTGCGTGGACAACCTGCAGCCCGATTTCCTCTATGACCACATCCAGCCTGTCCGTGCGGAGCTCATGCAGGTAAGTGTGGGTTCTCGCAGGGGCCGGCCCAGCGCCGGCTGTCGGGGGCTCACGGATTGGTTTTCCCGGGGCTTCTAGGCTAGTGTTTCCGGAAATGACAGCCCTCCCACCCCCAGTGAGCTGCCTGCGCCCCGTGTTGGGCTCTCTGCAAGATGAAGTGGTGTAGTTTTTAACCTCTTCATGAGTCTCCTGGCTTATGAAAAGATGTGTAGAAATATGTATTAAATAGACATTTGTTTTGCAGTGTTGCCCTTTTTTCAGAGGGTTTTCACGAGGGTCACAGACTCATTTAAGTTGATGACCTGTGAGGGTAGGTGCTGTGGTTACTATGTGCTGCCAGGAAGAGCCTTTCTTTGTCCACGGGAGATCTCGGGATGCTGCAGTGAAGAGAATCACGCTCCTGAGGAAGTGCAGGTGTTCACTTTCGGGTCAAGGGAATTGAAGCAGATAATTGAGATGGTTTTGAAAACATGTTTTCTTCCTTAGAGTTTGGATGTCAAATACTAGGTTTTGCCTTCACGTTTTGCTGTCGTTACGGATTCGTAACGTAGTCGGTAATTGTTAGAAGCGTAGGCTGCCTGTCACTATACTGCCTCTCTGCTTTGGAGTTTTTGGCCCCAACTAGAGGTCCGAATGCCAGCTTCAAAGGATGGAGACTCAGTAACCCTAAAAGACAGGAATCTGGATTGGAAACTGCAGTGTGCACTTGAAGCTGGGTTTGGGAGACTTTCCTCCCCAGTCCTGAGATAGGGACCCTGTGTGCCATCTGGGTGGGAGAGGATGGGGCTGGCGGTTGGGTCAGGGCCTCCAAGTCCACTTTCCCAGCCGTCCTTTGGAGGATTGACAGAGAGCCTGCCTCAGGAGAGAACGGCACTGTTGGTTCTGGAAGGCAAACCCTGGGCCTGACCCAGGTGTGGGTGAGCAGCATGTGAGAGGAGGAAGTGGGGCTGGCTGGGCTCATGGGGCTCTTGTTGTTTCATGAGGCAGACGGTCCTGGGAGACAGGGGCGAGGCTCCTTCCTGCTTTTGGAGCCCCAGTAATCCCCGCCCCCCACACTAGACAAGTGTCATAGTCTGTTTCTCTGTGGTCTCCTCAACCAGCACTCGCTCCCAGTGCCACCCCCTCCAGGGGGGTTAAGCAGAAATTCCCTCTCCTGAGGGTACATGAGGAGTGGTGGGGCCGGGTGGAGCGGTAGAGGTTGGGGGGGTGGGGGGGGCTTAGCACCTCTCAGCAGGGGTTCCCGATGGACAGGCCTTGGTGGACCTTTAGGAACATAAGAGAAGGTGAAATTTTGCTTTAAAGAAAATTCTAAGATTTTACGTTGGCTGTTGCTAGATGCTAATATCTGGTATTGTTATGGAAGGTGATCTAAGAAAATAGACTTAAATAGACTTTTTTTTTTTAAGTTTGAGAGAGAGAGCATGCCTGCACCTGCACATGAACCAGAGAGGGACAGAGAGAGAGCGAGAGAATCCCAAGCTGGTTCCTTGCTGTCCATGCAGAGCCCAGCAAGGGGCTCAAACTCACGAACTGTGAGATCATGTCCTGAGTCAAAATCAAGAGTCTGACATTAAACCAAATGAGCCACCCAAGTGCCCCTAGACAGACATAGTAATTTTGAGGACTTAGATAGTTTAGGTGAAAGAATGTGGGAAGATTGACAAGAGTTTTTTGAAACAGTTGAGTGTGTGTGGTCCTTATACACTGATACAAGGTGCGCGTACTTGTTATCTGTTCCCAGAATGCGGTGCCTGTCATGATTGTGTTTTCGCCCTTCACCATCCTTTCTAACATGAAGTTTGAAATGTATAAGATCGTTTATCCGATTCGTAGGAATTTATCTTGTTTGTAAGTTATAAAGCCTAATAATCGAAGTAAAAACCTGAGAACTCACCATCAAATCCAGGACAAGGACTTTAACAGTAAAGAGCATTTCCCTCCATGCCTCTTCTGGTCCCATTTTGTATATATGTTTAGACGATATATTGCTTAGTTTTCTTGCTCTTGAGCTCTGCGATATTTATCATATGCTACTGTGTGTGTTTCAGGAGCATGGAAGAACATTTATGTTTATATGTGCGTTTTAAAGAAAATTTTTCTGGAAGGATACATAAGATTAATAACATTGGCTTCTCCCAATAAGGGGAAATTTGTGTTTGGGGGACAGAGATGGGAGGAAGAATTTTTGCTGTATAATTTGCTACAACTTGAAAAGTTTGATTTGTGAACCATGAGGATGCCTTGCCTTGCAAGGATTTTAATCAAAGTACTTTGGTTTTTAGGCTTTATGGCGCACTTTACGCAATCCTGCTGATAGCATTTCTCACGTGGCCTATCGTGTACTTGGTAAATTTGGTGGCAGTAACAGGAAGATGTTGAAGGAGTCCCAGAAGCTGCACTATGTTGTGACCGAGGTTCAAGGCCCCAGTATCACAGTGGAGTTTTCTGACTGTAAAGCATCTCTTCAGCTCCCGATGGAGAAGGTAAATTTGGAAATCTGCAGGAGCTTCTTAAGGATACTATACATTTCATTTTAAGAAAGTGAATTTCTGTTTGCAAATACGTAAATAAAACATGTCTTTCTTGCCAGGGAATTTCTTTTTTAAGATTTTGTTTGTAAGTAAGCCCTATACCCAGTGTGGGGCTCTAACTCACAACCCCAAGATCAAGAGTCAAATGCTCTACTGACTGAGCCAGGCAGGTGCCCTTGGGGAGGGAGTTTCTAGCTCAAAGGACAGACTGTTTTGGGGGACCAGCTTGGGTGGCAAAGGGGCTTTCCTAACACCAGGAGGCCGGTGGGGGTGTACTGCCTGGAGAACTCTGGACCCTTGAGCAGTTTCATGTTTCCCGATGGAGCAGGAGACACCGCCGCCCAGCCCACCCCTTCCTTGAACTTAGTCCGTTTCATTGCCTAACAGGCTTTACTTCAGATGTCATTAGAACCCAAGTTTATCCCATACTTGTCATTCCTGAGCACCCACTTCTCCCATTCTCTATCCAGACGTAGCACCTGCTGTCTCTCCTGGCTCCTGAGCCCTCTGCGGGCAGCTCTGTGGTCTCTATCTGCCATTTGGAACTCCTGTCCCGTTGGGTAGAAAATGGGCAGACAGCATGCCCAGCATCATGCCCGAGTGTCCACTCTGCTGCTTTTGCTTTGTCATTTTGAAACTGTTCCCCCTTTCACCTCATCGAGCCCTCCTGGTCCTTTGTCACATGCATCTTGGTCCACTTTACCATGATCTACATTGTTCAGGTTGACTTCTCCGCCTTATTGTAGAGCCAGCCTTCTTCCACCCTTCCTTAGAACTTTTGTTACCGTGTCTTTTCAGGATGTTTATCTAGTCGTTACATACTGGGTATTTTTTTTTTTTTTTTAATGTTTTGTTTATTTTTGAGAGAGAGCATGCAAGTTGGGGAGGGGCAGAGAGAGAGGAGGACAGGGAATCTGAAGCGGGCTCGGCACTGACCGCAGCAAGCCTGATGCAGGGTTTGAGCTTACGCACCAAACTGAGATCGTAACCCGAGCCAAAGTCGGACGCTCACCCGACTGGGCCACCCAGGCATCCCGTACTGGCTGTTTTTTTAAAGGGTGTTAGAGTAGGCCTCCGCGTGCATCTCAGTGACTCCGCCGTTTTAGTAAGCCAGATGCCAGCTGGATTCCTGAACTCCTTGCAGACAGATCTGGTCTTAAACCAGCATTTCGTGGCCTGGACCCACTCAGAGCCCTCCCTTTGCTCAGGGCTGACTGTCCTGTTGTGTCATAGTGTAGAGCTCTGCCTGTTCACTTCTCTGTATTCAAACCTTACCCACATAGTGAGTTCTGTGGTTTTTTTTCTTTTTTTTCAATCAGGCTTTATTAAACATCTATGGGGAACGATACCCATCATGGATAAATGTCCTTCCGGGGTTCTCATCCATCATTCTCTCTCAATATCCTGTATCCCCCACTTCTCAAGCACTCACATTGTCCCTGACCCTCCCCCAGCCCGTAGATAGGTGTCCTCTCCAGATCTCACAGTGAGACGCAACCCTAGCTTCTCCCCCAAACCTTAATAAAAATATTTGCCAAATAAGCACTAGTTTCCTCCTAAGAGAATACAGCTAAAATGCTGCCTTTACATTGCAAGTTACTGAAGTGAACATCCTGGGTCTGAAGCATGTTCCCAGAGTGTAGGTAATGTCTTAACCCAGGACTGTTTGCTTCAGCCCTGTCAGTGGCAAGCTTGGTATTAGTCGTGAAAACTAAGGTATCTGACTTTCATTTGATGCTGCGTAGACTAAGCAGAGCAGGAAATCTCTTTAGAAGTAGTTTTTCCCCCAAAGAAGAAACCAAGTTTTGAAGAGTGGCTCCCACATCCTCCTGGACTCCCCTACAGACTTCGGGTGCACGAGGGGCCGGCTTCCTAGCAGGCAGAGGCCGAGGGCGCGCAGCACCCCACACGGCCGGTGGGGCTGCCGGGGCCAAGGGCATGAGCTCATGGCCAAGCCAGGTGCTGGCGAATTCTCACAAACAATCCTGCTTGTGGCACGTTACAACGCTCTGTTGTTTTGGCAGGTAATTGGCTCAAAGGTTGCATTGATTCTTACTGCTTCTGAAATTGTCTCCACATGATTTGTTACCTGTTGGTGACCAGGGCAGAGGCGGTGGGAGGAGGGACAGTGCTGCGGTGCCCCGGGCTCGGGCACAACAGTGAGGACCTGTTGTCATGCTCTTTGTGACCGCGTGTGACTGTTTAGGGCAGGGCTGCTGGCCCTGTCAGCATCCACTGCTTCCTCACACACAGCCTAGATGAATCTTTTAACGCCCATCACTTCTGCTTACAGGGTTTATAGCTATAGAATTGTCATTGAGGCTAATCTCTTAGCTGTTAAAGGCTTCACGTGATTTTTTGTTTATGATTATGCCTCCCCAGCCTTCCTGGTCAACCTAATTGAACAGGATAAAATTAGTACATATAACTGTGTAGGTTTTCTGAAAAAATAAAGAAAGCTCTTTTGTCTTGTAAAGAGAGAATTTTGTGGTCAGGTAATTTCTGCATAAACTACGCTTTTTGTGTTTGCCATAGGCCATCGAAACCGCTCTAGACTGCCTGAAGAGCGCCAACACGGAGCCTTACTACCGGAGGCAGGCGTGGGAGGTGATCAAGTGCTTCCTGGTGGCAATGATGAGTCTGGAGGACAATAAACATGCCCTCTACCAGCTTCTCGCACACCCTAAGTATGTTGGGGACGTGGTTTTCTGTGATTAGTGCATCTTCCATCAGGATTTAGGGTGGAGAGCACCTCCCAGATCTCCGCGGTGCTAGGACTTTGCTCCGTCAAGTCAGGAAGTCAGCCTGTGATCTGCCTAGTGATGCTTCTCTGGGCTTTTCGAGAAAATGAAGAGGCGAAACTGGGTGCTTGAGGATTAGAATTTACCTCCTTTGTAGTCTGACTGTTGCCTCCTGAGGCTGTCAGCTTCAGGGAGCAAGGGTCCTGGCCTTTTCTGTCCTGTTATGAACCATTATATCCTTAGCGCTGGGCACGTGATAGACATTCAGCGGATCTTTTGCTTTTCTGATCCATGGTGACCCTTCCATTCCCCAGATGCTTGTCATGTGATATTTATATTTTGTTCTTATCAGTTATTGCTATGACCTTAGGTGGTGGTCTTTTGTGATCATGTGTGGGTGTTAATCTTTCTGTGTCACATTGCAGGGAGGGGACTTTGGCTCTGTATTTACACGTTTCTCAGAGCATCGATGATGGGTGATCCATGCACTGTCAGTGAGGCCTCTAATAACCGGGTCTGATATAGTTCCCGTGGTGATTTTTCCTGTCTTTTCTTTTTATTTTTTTAAATGTTTTCTTTATTTTTGAGAGAGAGAGAGACAGAGAACTAGCAGGGGAGGGGCAGAGAGAGAGGGAGACACAGAATCTGAAGCTGAGCTGTCAGCACAGAGCCCAATGTAGGGCCCAAACCCATGAACCGTGAGATCATGACCTGAGCCAAAGTCGGACGCTTAAGACTGAGCCACCCGGGCACCTTGGCATGGTGTGATTTTTCAACATACAATAGGTGTATAGCTGCCTTCAAGAGTTTTCATTTCTATTTGATTGTTGATGGGTTTCTTTCTTTCTTTTTTTTTTGTTTAAAAGTTTATTTTTGAGAGAGATAGCGCGAGTGGGGGAGGGGCAGAGAGAAAGGGAGAGCCAGAATCTGAAACAGGCTCCAGGCTCTGAGCTGGCAGCACAGAGCCCAATGCGCGGCTTGAACTCAAAATGGCAAGATCATGACGTAGGCCAAAGTCAGATGCTTAACCGACTGAGCCACCCAGGCACCCCAAATGATTGGTTTATTTCTTAGAATTTGACTTAGTTACAAAAGACAGAAGTCCAACATCTACTTTCTTTAAAAACTATAAAGATACTAAATCTGCTGCCACAGTGTAATTTTGCTCTGATTCCTTGCCTGTGCTCATATTACATAGAACACACTTGGGATCTCTTGAACCATTGGTTATAGATATTCTTGATGAAGTTCATCCTGTTTGAATCCAGGTGTTACTGGAATTAAAGCAGAGAAATGAACGCACTTCGGCCTGTCTGAACAAGGGGAAGGTTGGCAAGCTGAAAATGAAAACAGAAGTGCTGGTGACATCATCAGGTCGGGACTTTGGTGTTGTGATGACAGATCCAATCTTGTCTTTCAGCTTTACAGAAAAGACCATCCCTAATGTCATCATATCACATCGCTACAAAGCACAGGACACTCCAGCTCGGAAGACGTTTGAGCAGGCCCTGACTGGGGCGTTCATGTCTGCCGTCATTAAGGATCTCCGGCCCAGCGCCCTGCCCTTTGTCGCCAGCTTGATCCGCCACTACACGATGGTGGCAGTTGCCCAGCAGTGCGGTGAGTGGGGCGGTGCAAGTGCTCGTGTGACTTCCTTGGGCTGCTTCCAAAGCTCCACAAGGACTTCATGGTATTTCAGAGAAGCCGTTTGGCTGGTTGATTTTTGGCCTTTGCTTTTTTAATCCCCACTTATTGCGGGATAATCGATATTTCAATGATGGGTGCAACATTAACTTAAAAATTGTTACCACGTTTCATTTGTAAAATACGTTCGTTTAATATTTTGGCCCTTTGTTTTTCATGAAAATGGGGGCGGAATACTTTTGGGCACTCCGCGTGTAAAAGTTTGTGGTCCCCCTTGTTGCCGGTCTTTCTTGTGTTGTTTTCCAAGGCCGAGCCTCCCCCTCTGTCCTCCTGCTGTCAGCTGGCTTCCCCCAAGTCTTTGTGCTTTTCTCGGTTCCTGGAGTGGTCATCCCTGCCACCCCTCAGGCTCTGGATGGGGACGGGCCACTTTTGTTTGTCTCTCTGCTTCTCTTCCTAATCCTTCCGGACGGGTGCTTTTGCAGAAGGCAATAAAATGTCCTGACACTGTCAGTTGCTGTGTAAGTTTCTGAACACTTACTCCCAGCTTCTGCAGCTCCTCCCAGACCGGCGCTGGGCAGGTGTTCCCAAGACCCCTCACCCTCCAGAGCAGCAAAGCAACTTCCTTTGAACACCGCAGAACACCTAGAACTTTCCCTCTTGTATCTCTCCTTGGCTTTCTTGGTCCGGATAGTCAATGCTATAAGGTTTATTTTAGATCATTCCTCAGTGTCTCTCTGTTAATGTCTTTTCCAGCAGACTTGTAAGCTGCCTGATGATGCCTATCTTGCTGGGTGCCTCCAAGGCATTAATTAATAGCAGATTATTTTCTGTGTGTTGGGTGTCAGGCCCAAGTTGCTTTTTAATTGTTATTTGTATGTCAGGAAGTCCAGAGCATAGCCCACAGTCATTTCTGTGCTGTGCCCCTTGGTCTCTTCAATGATTTTTACTTTTTTTTCTTTATGTTTAATTTATTTTTGAGAGAGAGCAGGAGTTGGGGAGGGGCAGAGAGAGAGGGAGGCTCAGAATCTGAAGCAGGCTCCAGGCTCCGAGCTGTCAGCACAGAGCCCGATGCTGGGCTCGAACTCATGAACTACAAGATCATGACCTGTGCTGAAGTCGGATGCTTAACCGACGGGGCACCCAGCCCTCCCTAATTTTCTAAAACAAGGAACCTGATGGTGATTTTCATTTTAAACTAATGCATTTTTGAGTTATGACTGAGAAAATCTGAAAAGAATACTGTTTATAACGGAAATAATTCAGAAAAATCACCTTAGTGTGAATTAGACCACTTAGTTTACAAGTAATTGCAACTTAACAGAAGTTGGTCTAAAGTACCAGTGCTGGCAAATTAGTCGGAGAAGAGCAAGTCTCATATCGTTTCATTCATAGGAGGTCTTTAAGATACAAAACAGATGAACATAAGGGAAGGGAAA